AAAAAAAAAAAAAAAAAAAAAAAGAGTGCTAAATATATTAAACATTTAGGAATTTTCCTCTTATGTGATATCTGTAAACATGGACAGTAAAGCCAGAGCTTAGAAGATGAATGGGGTAACCATGAACAAGGAATTTTCATAAAATGATATTGTAAAATGGGTATAATAAAATTTTTATTTATCCAAAAGCTGCTACCTGAGATTAAGCCATATTTGTATCCATTGGTTCCTTTTTTAACACAGCATCTCACTTCCACTTAGAATATCTGTGATCCCTGTAATAATGAGCTGAGACTCTCTAACACAGCTCTACAACCACACATTCCTCTCTGGAGAGTACAACCTGCTACCTATGGCACATATGCATCTTAGTTAGAGACAGAGAAAACTGCAAAAAGTTCTTGCTAAAAGCAAGATTATACCTGGCTGCAGTGTGTGCCTGATTCCTTTCTTGATGCTTAGAAGTTTCAGAGAGATATTTTTGAGGGCTGTAAGTGCATTTCATGTGATGTAGATATGATTTCCTGATTTTTAATGAGAATAGCAGAGCAAATATTGCAAAGGACATATAATAAATTTTAGCACTAAATGACAAACGGAAACAAGTAGGGCTTCCATGCAAAAAGGTGGTTTGTTCTCCCAGCTGTGTGGTTCAAAAAGTCACACACACTCATCTTGACATACTGAATCGCCAAGTGGTTCTCTACTTTCCGCCGTGCATTGGCATTGGGTTGTCCAGCTTCTATTTTGATTGCTAATATATTTGCTGCAGCAACCATTAATAAAAAGGCATGCTAATAACAATGAAATACAGCTCTACGTGAAAACAAGGTGCACACAGACCCTAAAGAGCCTTATATCTGTCACTATATCACAACACCGTGTTATGAGTTACTACAGATTATTAAAATAATTTAATGTAGTTATTGCACTGAAATATGTACCTTTCAGCCTGTAAGTGAAAGTGGCCTGTGTTCTAATAAAGAACAATTCTAAGAAAGCACCCCAAAGAGTTCTTGCCCAAGTCTGATTATAGGCGGTAAATTTGTTTCCTTCCCAAAAAACCAAAGAAAAGCTTTTCACTGTCTTTTACCCAATACCAGTGATTAGTGCAGGTGTTCCAGAAGAAAGTAAATTCACCTTAATAGTTAGACATAGTATGTAACTCGAGAATATTGCATATTGCCTTCAACAATCTCTGAATTACTTGTGAAAATTGATGTTAAACCAAAGCTCTCTAGTTTTAACACCAGGTGCTGGTTACTGCTTGAATTCTCCTTCCACCTCAATCCCTAGATTTCCCTGAATTCAGATTTTCAGTGTGGATAATTTAAATACATGAGTGTCCTTAGAAATGCCTGGAGGACTCTGGAAGGCTTTTTTGTTTTTGTTTTTGTTTTCCTGGGTTCGTCTCACCCTCCTTGGTTCAAGCAATCCTCCCTCCTCAGCCTGCGGAAAAGCTGGGACCACAGGCACGCACAAGAGTACCCATCTTGGAAGTTTTTTTTACAAGGAAAATGGTGGTATCTTGAGCCCACAACCCTATTATGGAATGAGTAATAGAATTCCATATGACTCCTGTATTTTATGCATGAAGACACTAAGGTTAGAGAAGTCACACTGCGCTATTCTGGCATGTCTGGGCATCCAGGTAGATGCAGGGCATGCGTGTATATGAGTCTCACTGAAACCATTAACTGGGAAAGGGAATTTTTTTTTTCTATTATATTCTGCATGTGAGGAGAGTTGCCTAAGAGATATATAAATTAATGGAAAACGGGGCCAGGGATTTAGCTCAGTGGTTCTGCCGCCTGCCTTGCAAGCATAAGGACCTGAGTTCGATCCCCGGTACCAAAAAAAAAATAATAAGAAGAATAAATTAATGGAAACCTATCTTAGGTAGAGATGGTGCATATTAAAGAATATCTTGGCTGTAGAAAAGTATCTTTCTAGAATACCAGTGCCTTTTTGTCTAGTAGCAAAGGATGTCGGAGACGATCCAGTATTGAACAGTCGCTATGTGAAAGGTATTCAGAGCTAGTGCTCCCAGACCATATTTAAGAAAAATATTTTTGTTTCAGGTAGTCGGGAATCTGCCTTTGTTTATGCCGTCTCCTCAGCTGGAGTTGTATTTGCCATCACCAGGGCCTGTAGCCAAGGAGAATTAAAATCTTGTTCCTGTGATCCAAAGAAGAAGGGAACTGCCAAGGACAGCAAGGGCATCTTCGACTGGGGCGGCTGCAGTGATAACATCGACTATGGGATCAAATTTGCCCGTGCCTTTGTGGATGCCAAGGAAAGGAAGGGGAAGGACGCCAGAGCCCTGATGAATCTCCACAACAACAGAGCTGGCAGGAAGGTATGGTACCGCAACTGCACCCCTTCTGAGGATCGCAAGGCCTTATGGGTCACTTAGGCAGAGCTTGTCATAAGCTTACCTTTCCCAGAGTTGATAAAATGTTGTGTGTATAGGCACAACTTCCCACAGCCCCCCACTCCAGAGCTTTGTGTTCTAACGAATACCAGGAACTGGGTTTAAAGATTCCCCACCCACACCCCACCTTCTTTCCCACAGCTGAGCTGAAGGAGTCCACCAATTGCTTTTGGCATTGTATTGAGTCACGTGTTTTATGGTCCCTCTGGATATTGTATCATCTGGGCAGGAGGTAAATTCTGTTGGTTAGGATAGTGCTTCATCCCACATAGCAATGGGACACTGAATGTTTATATTTAAGTAATATCAAGACTCAACAAACCAGGCATGATGGCACCCTAAACCCAGAACTTCGGGAGGCTGAGGCAGGAGGATCACAAGTTCAAACACAGCCTGGACGACTTAATGACTTAGCAAGATCCTGTCTCAAAATGTTAAATTTTTTTTTAAAAAATTGGACATTAGCTCAGTTCAAAGGCCCTGAGCTCAATCTCTAATATTACCAAAAGAAAAGAGTCAGAGTTTCTTCTCTCAAATTTTTCATGAAAGAAATGTATAGGCATTGTTGGATTCTTCTAGATTTAAAGATTCGCTCTAAAAGTCAGACCCACCTCCAGCTCAAAAAAGCCCCACGTTGAGGTTTCTGGTACTGAGTAAGAGGGCCAGAGGAAGACATGGCCCCTTCTTCTTTCACCCTGACAAACCTCCTGGGCTATGGGTGCCTGGTTATTAGTCACTCTCTGACACCCATTTGTTAGAAGAAAAAATCAAGGTGCTCAAGCGAGTTAGCAGAAAAGTCAGGACTAGAACTGGGGTTTCAACTCCTAGTCCAAGTGTGCCATGAACTGGATTAAACTAGGATCCGATGCCAGTGTTCAGATCCATTGATGATCTGTGCCCCTCTATATGGTGGCCTGATTAGAATAACAGGAGAATCTGAGTGCCACACTTTATGCCTCTGGGTAGAAAGCATAAAACTGGCTGACTGAACAAATACTTGGTCAGAACTATTATAGAATGACAATCTAATTGCCAGTAGAATGAGATAACCATAATTTGTCTTTTATCAACACAACTGAAAATGTTAAAATATAAAGAAAGATCAGCATAAAATTGAGAGGCCCCAAGGGAACTTTAATACAAAAAATAATAGGGAAGAATGCAGACTTGTTTAGATCTGGAAAGAGCAAATATCATTTAAAGGAAGTTCAAAGCAAAGAACTCTTGCTTTAACAATGGATAACTATGACCTGAACTGTTTGCAAATAGTACCTTTCCTAAACTTTTAGGAATAAACATTATTTTCATGAATTTATGAACTTATAGCAACTACTGCCAAGAATACAGACCACAGTTATGCAATACTATGAGTGTTGGTAATTGCTGTTTGTGGAACAATTTAGATAAAAGAATTTACACTGACCTTTGTTTTGACCTTGATAGCACATGTATAAGTTATAAAGTGTGGTGTCTTTGATAGGACTGTGCTGCTTAATTATTCCAACAGGGCATACAGTTAGATTCTTCTATTTGGAAAGATAAAGGCATATGGTCTTACACTGTACCCAAAGAATATTGACTTATCAAAATAAATGTTAATTTTACATACTAGGTCATAGATATTGAATGTTTCAACTCTTTAAGACAATAGATCTTACCTATTATATTCGAGGCCCTGAATAAACACAAGTTTTAATGTAAATCACATGATTATTCACTGTGTAGAGGTGAACAGCTGTCAGGCCTCAGATACTCTCCTGCCTACTCTGCAAAACTTAGGAGGCTACTTTTGATTGGAATAAAAGTGCACATGCTGATTTTTTAAAATGTGGCTTTAATTAATGGTGGGTGGGCAGGCTTTTTCAAGGAGATGCATGATGTCAGTGAATATGAACTTTAATGAGAGTAAATGTATTGAGATAAACATGCATCTCTAATTCTGTTTTTGCGGTCATTAGACCCCCAGTCCTTACTCCCCCTTTGTACCAGCAGGTCTGTGGAATCAAAATGAGAACAGGCTGGGCTCTCGTTTGAAGGCCTCCTGAGCTAAAGCCTCCAACTGGCCTGGTTCTAGAAAAACCCAGCCTCCCAGGGATGACACAATATCAGTCTGTTCTTTTTTATTCCCCCTGTTCCTTCTTCTTGTCCTTTATACTTCTTAGTATTTACCAGATTGTCCAATATGAACATCCTACTTTTTAAACTGGGAGCAGTGACGGTGAAGGAGACAAGTGCATTTTATTTAAAAGAAAAATTATCCATTTCAAGATTGTTCTCTTCAGCCAATACCGAAAGAATTGAACATTGCCATGCGCACCAGCTCACAATCTTCCCAATACTCTATCAGTTCGATACATTTCTTATAGCAACTGGTTAGAGCACCCTCATGTGTCTCTGCACTGCAATGTCATTTAGAGCCTCTCTGCTGTACTATCATTTATTTTAATCAGTCTTAGCAGAGTTTGTTTTTTTTTCCTTGTTCACTTGAGACTCTTCTTTGATTGAGGCTACTTTTCCACTTTCAAGTAGAACTGAAAAGATAAGTCTGTCTGGCTCAAAAAAAACTCCCTCAAGAAGGAATTTCCTCAGCTTCCCTCAGCCACCCTTTCTAGGTATAAAGAAGCCATGTTATGCAAATTAGCAAATTATATTTTAAGGTGGGCTTAGGTAAATTACAAGCAAAAGGTATCTGGTTATTTACCCAGCATTGTTCCTTTTCATTTGCTTGTAAAAAGGCTTTTTAATTAGCTCACTCTCCTTTAAGATGAAATAATCCTAACTTTAAACTTTCCCAAGAGAATCTGCATCCAAAAAATAAAAAAAAATCCATGTATCCAATCAAATACTGCCCATTGCGCCACTCCAAAAATTTCCATAAGAATAAGAGAAATCCATAAAAGCATTTTCTCCAAAAGGTATCTCTTACTATAGGGAAAAGAAAGAACCTGAAATTTGAGATCAGATCCACTTTAGCATTAATCTTACAATACCAGTGGCTTTGCTGACTGGATTTCAGTTGTTCTCATAAGTAATGTGAAAGATAATATTTGGTTTTATGGGAAGGCACGCAGCAGATAATGTGGCATATAGTAGGTGCTCAGTAAAAGCTCCTTTCCCGTTACTGAAGTGAAGGTTGTTTGTAACTCATGACCACATGTGAACTGTTTACTCTGAATTCAGTCAGATGGCTCCATCTATCCATAGACTCATTTTTTGTACAGTCTAACACACTACTAAAAAAGGAAAAGAATATATTCTAATTTATACAGTACTGTCAAATGTTTTCCAAAATCTGCATAGGAATACAAAATACTGTAGTATTAATATTTTTACTTTTCATATGAGAAACTAGTCCTCAGCCAAAGGAAGTGACTAAGTCAGGATCATATGACCCTAAAATGCTGGGCTTGGGGGTACAAACCCAGTTCTGTTTGCCCGTAGGCACTTGTCTGTGTTTCCATATTAACCATGTTGAGACTTTCTAAGTAAAAATAAGCAGTATTTATATAATTAATCAACAGAATAGTAGATATTGCCTTTGATAGTTTTATTGATGGCTTTCCCCCCTTTGTATGTTTTCACAGATTTTTAAAATTAACATGTGATCATTTTTAACAATAGGGAGAAAGTTTGAGAGTTGAAAATATAACAGATAGTTATTATGAGCATGCCCAAAGCCACTTGACCTTATCTGGAAGACTCACAGAATTCCAAATAATAGCATTATATGTCTGAGAACACTACTCCTGTGTGTTCATGGACTACCTTTGGTTCAATGGAAAATTTATTAAGGAATTACTTTGGAAAAGGTACCATTATGGGTATTAATTCAGATGTAAAACCAAACAAAACAAAACAAAACAAAACAAGAATAAGGCACAGAAAGCCCTAACCATAGGAAATTTTTATTCAAGGCGATAAAAACAATGCAATTGCAAGGCAAGCTCTGCTGAGTGGCCCTTATAGCAAAGTCGGCAAAGGGGCCAGCTGTGAGGTAAAGGCTGTAGCACAAAAGAACCAAGTGTTTGAGTTAAAGATAAGATTGCCTATATCCAAGAAAGGGAAACACTCTTCAAGATGAAGGGGCTCTAAGACAAAGAGATATGACAGGAGAGAGTGTATCATAAAGTTGAGGAATGATAAGGGCCCTAAGGTAGAGCTCAAGCCAAAGTTAATGGGAGCTGAGGCTGGAATGTTGAACTTCAGCCATATCTGAAAAACCTCAAATACCAGGTAGAGACCTTTGGATATCACTGGGAAGGCAAGTGGAAGGCCCTGGATAATAGGGAGAAATTTCAATACTTAACAACTTTTATGCATTTAATTTCTTAGGAGTCCACTTTGGGAGAGTATGGAGATCAAAGTTCAAGGTTTCTGTAAAATTTTTGAATTAATGACTTACAAAGTAGATTTACTAGGAAAACTGTAAGCTATCTCCCTAGATTTCATTTTTAGCCTTAAATTTAAATATAAGGTATAATATAGTAAGCTTCTGGATGTTTAAGAGTAATAAAAAATTCACATGTGGAAACTATGTTGATATTCATACTGTATTTTAACATACTGGTTAATACTATTATTTGCTATTATACTCATTAAGTGTTCTTAGCTACGGATACCCTCTTGATAGGCAGTCTGGAGAGCAGGGCTCTGAAATCAGGAAATTAGTTCTAATGTTTGAGCACAACCTAACGAGAGTTGCTATATAAAATAAAATAAATATGCATTTGCACCAGGTTGTAAGCAGGGGGTAGGTGCCACTATTGTGTACTTTTGTTTATGATGAGTCAGGGATCTAACACGGTAGCCAGATAAACAATTGATTTATTATCTTTGCTAACTTCAAATGATCTGAAATTCTGGCTTTACTTGATGCCCTGTATTTCACATAGGGCAGCTCATAGGATGAGAGACTCCAGAGGTTT